TATATAATTTTATTAATTTTTTTATTAATTAAAAAAAATCCCCATCTGGGGAGCATCGGAGCTCCCCAGGTTGCGCTGATCAAGCTCCTTAAAGCTGGTTCTCCTTATTTTCTTATTTTTTCAAAAAATATAATAATAATTTTTAAAATTAATAAAAAAAGAAAAGTCATTTTAATCTTTTCATAATCTCTATTAATGGTGATTGTACTTTTAGTGCGAAACGTCTATTTTAAAAATTAATAAATTTGTTTGAAATTTTAATTAAAATTTAAGAAAATGAGGATATTTTATCTTATAAATTTTACAAAAAACTGTATGTTCAAACACAAAAACTCCCGAATTGGAGCTTTACCCAAACCTTAACATTTTTTAACCCATTTGCCTTTACAGAATCAAATCCATGGCATGCTTTTTCAATCACAAAACTACATGCTAAGCATAATAGATTCTAGGCTTGCCTTGGAGCTAATTAACATATGTGCCTCATCAAATATGTCAAACCAGAATTGAACTGAACAAACCAAACCTTGGGACGTTCATCAAAATAGAAGAGCTTATCAGAAGATACAGAACAGGGGTCCACCTTGGATAATAATAGATCTCATTTTATCAAAATAGACACATCAAGGGTCGATACCCCGATGGAATAATTAAATCATAGGGTAAGAAACTCCACTCTACAGAACTCATGTCATCGTCTGATATCATAGTCATCGAATGGAACCAAATTACTAATTCGAAATAAGCTACTATACCAATATGCAGATATGTTCTCAGATTTAAAAGCAATTTCAATGTAATTATGGCAAGCTCAATAGACCATATCCAATGCAAAAAATAACAAGCACAAAAAATTTCAGAACCCTACTCACATATGGGTATCAAATCACACTTGCCACCATGTGGCTCATGTAACATAATCTATGGAAAAATATTTTGAAGATTAAAACATTAAGAACTCTTGTTTCTCCATGCGCAGAACTATGTACACATATACATATACATACATACATATATATATATAGATACACACATGTAGTTTCAAAATTCCAGATCAAATACTTCAGATCACAAACAAATATCAACATGGGCATTTAATACCAATCGTAATTGGTGCTTGAAATGCATTTCATGCTTAGGTATATATATAGCAAAATATTATTTCTTTAAAACCATGCACCCACTCACAGTGACTAGGTGTTTCTCCACCAACTAATCAAGTCTCCAATCCTTGATCACCAACAAATCTTTGAGCTTCCAACACTCCCTAAACATAACACAATTTCCTTATTCCTTTGCATTCAAAATTCCAGGATTTACTAAGCTAAAGCTCAACTTCATTTTTCAACTAATAGTTTCCAGATCTCAAATCCACAAACGCCGATGTCAAGATATTCAAACTCTTACCTTGGTGGCTAGATCAAAGCCAACCGAACTCCAAAATCCTCCAACCTAGGGGGAGTGCAGTTTAGCTAAAGAATAAACAGAAATAAAGTTATAAAACCGGTTAATTTGAACCTCAACCTCACCTTGGTTGCCAATCCAAGCTCCAATTGAAGATTTGGACACCTAAAGATCAAGGGGGAAACTTGGGAGCATTCGGCCAAAAAGAACTTTAATTTTTCTTCAAGTAAAAAAAGCTGGCAGACCAACCAAAGTTGGCCTTTAAACCCACAAGGATCGACCTTTTAATTTAAAGAGATCGATCCTGACAGTCACAAAAAGCTCCCAAATGTTTTGCTGGACATTAAGGATAGACCCTATAACTCAATGGGGTCGATCCTATCTGTCATAAATAAATTTCTAAGTGCTTGGAAGCTAGGGATCGACTTGCTCTCTTCAAAAGGTCGATCCTGCATTTACAGAAAGCTC